CCCCCCCCCTCCACCTGGCACCATCAGGCTGGGCTCTCCACACCCTCCCCTCCCCGGCCCCCGCCCCCCTCTCCTACCATCCGCTCCGTCATGGCTGCCGCCAGTGCCCTCGTCTCCCCTCCCGTGGACGGCATGGTCACTGTCACCCAGCGCGGCTTCGTGGTCAAGGCGGGCGGGGCCGCCGCGCCGCCCGCCCTCAAGTCCACCTCGGCCGGCTCGCTGGCGGAGCCCTCGCTGCTGAGCCTGGGCTCCTTTGGCCGCCGCACGGTCAGCCCCCTGCTCACCCCCCCCCCCTCCCGCTCCCTGGAGTCGGCGGCGGCGGGCGGGGACGCGGGCGAGCTGCACTTGGCGCAATGCGCCAAGCTGACCCCCGGAGCCAAGCGCCTGATCAAGGGCGTGGTGCGCGGGTTGAGGGCCTGGCAGGAGCCGGAGGCCGCGGCCGAGGGCTTTGGCGGCACATACTTCTTCAGGGACGAAGACGGCGCGCGCTGCGGCATCATGAAGCCCTGCGACGAGGAGCCACTGGCGCCCAACAACCCCAAGGGTTTCGTTGGGCGCCAGCTGGGCGACCCGGGACTCAAGCCCACCGTGCGCGTCGGCGAGGCCGCGACACGCGAGGTGTGTGCCTTCTGCAGGGGATTTGGGATGAGGGAAATGGGACCTGGTGAGGAAGGGCAGCCTGAGTGTGGCCCCTTTTTTCGTGCACACAGTGTCATTTCCGAGGAGAGATCCTGTTTGTCTGATTCCCCCCTCTCCCCTTCTCTCAACCCCCTCTCAGGTGGCCGCCTACCTGCTTGACCGTGGCCACTTCTCCCGCGTGCCCCACACCGTGATGGTGGAGATCAGCCACCCCATCTTCCACGTGGCCCCGCGCGAGGAGGGTGCCCCTGCCCCGCCCCCCACCGCTGCCTCCTCCTCCTCCTCCTCGCTGTCCTCCGGTGCCGCGGCGGCGCCCGTCCCGGAGTCTGCCGAGCCCGCGTCGCACCCGCCCCGCAAGCTGGGCAGCCTGCAGGCCTTTGTGGCGCACGAGTGCGACACCAGCGAGCTGGGCGCCTCGCGCTTCCCCGTGCGCGATGTGCACCGCATCGGCATCCTGGACATCCGCCTCTTCAACACCGATCGCCACGCGGGCAACATCCTGGTCCGCCGCGTGCCCAGCGGCGTCGTGGGCGGGGCCGGCGCGGCGGGCGCCGGCTCCCCCTGCCCCCCGCCCCCACCCTCCTGCCCGCTGTCCAAGGGCATGCTGGACCGCGGCGTGCCCGCCTACGAGCTGGTGCCCATCGACCACGGCTTCGCCCTGCCCGAGGAGCTGGAGCCGCCCTACTTCGAGTGGCAGCACTGGCCGCAGGCCATGATGCCCTTCGGCCGCGAGGAGCTGGAGTACATCCGCGACCTGGACGCCCGCGCCGACGCCGCCATGCTGCGCGGCGAGCTGCCCAGCCTGCGCGAGGAGTCGCTGCGCCTGTTGGAGGTGTCCACCCTCCTGCTCCAGCGCTGCGCCGCGGCGGGGCTGAGCCTGGCCGAGATCGCGGGCGTCATGACGCGCCCCCTCATCGGCATGGCCGAGGAGGCCAGCGAGCTGGAGCGCATCTGCTACGCGGCGCGGCGCGAGGTTGACGCCGCGCGCTGCCACTCGCTGCGTGAGGAGGGCGAGGGCGAGGAGGGGGAGGGGGCCGATGACGAGGTGGCCGCCTCCGACGACGAGGCCGCCTCCGACGACGAGGAGGAGGGGTTTGCGCTGCGCAGTGTGGACGCCGGGTCGGACCTCTTCTTCTTCCCCGGCTCGGCCTCGCCGCGCACGGGGGCCTCCTCCGCCTCCTCCGCCTCGCGCACCGCCAGCGGCTCGTCCCGCGCCAGCACCGCCACGCGCGTCAGCGGCCCCGGCCTAGTCCCCGGCCGCCTCGCCGGCCTCTTCGCCATGGACGAGGAGGGCGGGGCGGGGGGCAGCGGCGGCGACACGCCGCGCGCCGCGGCCTCCTCCCCGGACCTCACGCCGCGCGGCGGCGGCGTGCTGCCGCCCCCGCCCTCCCTCGCCCGCCTGGTGCAGCGCGCTAGCGTGCCCGCCGCCGGCGCGCTCAAGGCGCCGCCGCCGGGCACGCCGGCAGGCGTGGCCTCGGCCGCCGCGGCCGCCGCCTTCTCCAGCCCGGCGGAGGCGTCGGGGTGCGGCGTGGAGCTGAAGACCCCCGTGCCCTCCCCGCACGCCAGCCCCCTGCCCGCCGGCGCCGCCTCCTGCGTCCCCGCCGCGGCCTTCTTCACACGCGTCCCCGCGCCGGGGCGGCGCGGCGCACGACCCCGGCGACGCGCCCCGGGCGCCACCCGTCTGCGCTCCGACGCCAGCGCGGCCTGCTCCACCGTCGCCATGGAGGTGAGGACTGCGAGTGACTCCGGGGTGGGGGCATTGCAGGAGGGTCTCGGCGGGGGGGAGCACACATGTCGGGGTCAGGCCCACGGGAATGCAGGGTTATCACAGCGAGGGCGTCCGGAGTACAAACCATTTCCTTGCTCACTCAATCCCCCCTCCCTAACGCACCAGGTGGAGTCCGGCGAGACGTCGCCCATGAGCGAGACGACCGCCGAGGGCGGCGACGTCTCCTCTGCCCACCCGGCCCCGCCCTCCTCTGCCGTCTTCCGTGACCTGACCGGGGACGAGTGGGAGCACTTCATGCACATCGTGCGCTGCCGCATCGGCGCCGCATTGCGCACCGGGGTCTGGAAGCAGGGCCCGGCGACAGGGGGGCGCATGCTGCCGGGCATGTCCTGCCCCCGCTTCTGAGCCCCGTGCGCCGGGATCGCCCTGTGTAGGTGTACGGACTCCTGCAGCGCGGCCGTGCGGCGCGCAGTCCACCCCAGCTCCCACCCCCCCCCCTTCCCCCCTCGGAACATCGTCACCACTCCCTTACCGCACCCCTCCCCAGCCCCGTGCGATGTGTCAGTGCCTGTCCATGTGTCCTGTTCTCCAGCTGTGTTGTGTCGCGCCCCGGGTAGTAAGCAGCCGGGCCCGCTGTCTCTCTGTGTCATCTTTGCCCCTCTAGCAATGCGTGTTGCTGTCCTTGGTTTCGGAGCGTGCAAGACGTGGGGGTGGACCACCCCACCCCTCCCCATAAAAGCCCCCGCCCCACCCCTTGCCGACTCCGGTGCATGTGCGCCTCGGCAGGACGGGGGTCGCCCCCTTGTTTTCTTGCAAGACTTACCTGCGAGTCCCAAGATTCTGGCACCGTGCGGTGCCAACCTGCTCGAATCCTGTACCCTACTCCCTCCCTGTAAAGAAAGAGGTCTGTACAAGTAGTGAAGGAGGACAAGGCAGGTTTTGAAGATGCCATGCACCCTGTGCAAAGGTGCCATGGCATCGGCGGGCCTCACCAACCAGAGGCTCTGGCTTCTCTCAACCTCGTCAGGTCGATTGGTTCAGTGCGTGGATGCTCAGATGATTCTTGGAAGGAGGACAAGGGGAGTATGACCATCAGTGAATGGAAAACCTCAACTATTTCCGATGCGAGATGGTTGCCCTCATCCACGGACTGCAATTTTATAGGCAGCACAGCCTCTCATTCAGAAAGGGACTCCAACTTCCAGACCATTCCATTTGCCCCCGCTTTCCTATCTGGAGCCCTTGTGGAGCCGAAGCTCATTCTCAACGTGCTGACAAATACAGTCACAACGATCAATCTCCTATCTGGTGCTCATGCAAACAATCCTGTCCATTCGAACGTGTAACACATGCATGGTAATCGTAGGAGCGAGGCTTGACAATAAATGGAAGGAGGTCAGGGCGATCAATGCCCGACTTGAGTTTGGCATTCATATGGACAAACGCCCCCTATACAGCCTGAATTTTAGGTCCGGTATTAGCCAGTGCCCTAGCCGTGTCGCCGCCATATCGAATGTCGCATCTGCATCAGAGAGGTGAGGCTGGGCTTGAGAGAGGCACCTGCAGCGCAGGTACACCCTGCAGTTCCCTGCCCAGTGCAGAGTGGAAATGTGCATTCACACGCTATCAAAGACAGGCATACACACACTCACTGACAAATACCACACACCTTTCTGCGACGTAGTCGAAGAGCTGTAGGGCGTAGTCCAGGTCCTGGCGCGTGTGGGAGGCAGAGATGCAGACGCGCATGCGGGAAGTGAGGAGCGGCGTGGCAGGGAAGCCGACTTCCACGACTGCCACCCCGAGGCGCAGCATCTCGCGCGAGGTGGCGGACAGCTTTGCCGGCTGAAAGATCATGACGGGCATGACGGGCGAATCCCAGTCTCCCAGGACGTTGAAGCCCAGGCGCAGAAGCCCAGAGCGGAAGTAGTTGGCGTTGGTCCGGAGCTGGGACAGCTTGTGCGCGCCGCGGTCGCTGCCGTCTGCGCCAGTGATGAGGCGCAGCGCGGAGAGGACCATTTGGACGGCAGGGGGGGTCATGGCCGTCGCATACAGGTGCGCAGGGCATTGTGCCTTGAAGTAGTCGATCACGTCCCTGGTGGGGGGGAGGTAGACAGGTGCATAATATAGGAGATAGTGCATATCCGCAAAGGCCAATTGAGGTGATACGGTAGGTTACAACCATGCCTGTACATTTCAATTTGTCAGGTAGGATGGTCAACTGAATACCCTACTCCTTTGAAACCCCAATGACTCACTTGTTTGCGGCAACGTAGCCGCCACAGGCCCCGAACGACTTTGAGAATGTGCCCATCAGGACATCGATGTCGGCCGAGCTGACGCCCAGGTGCTCGCAGACGCCGCGCCCTGTGGCCCCCATGGCCCCGATGGAGTGCGCCTCGTCCAGCCAGATGTAGGCCTTGTACTTCTTGGCCACTGCCACGAAGCCGGCCAGGTCCACCACCTCGCCCTCCATGGAGTAGATGCCCTCCACCACGATGATGACCTTCCTCCAGGGGCGATGGATGCGGGGCTGGCCCTCCACCAGTGCCGTGCGCAGCAGCCGCTCCAGGTGCTCTGGGTCGTTGTGGTCAAACACGCGGACCGTGCCCTTTGCCGCCCTCACGCCAGCCACGATGGAGGAATGGTTCAGAGCATCTGACAGGACCAGGGTGCCAGGGGTCGCGAGCACCGGTAGGAAGGCGGAGTTGGTGGCAAACCCCATACCGCAGGTCAGGGCAGCCTCCTTGCCCAGGAAGCTGGCAAGCTCCCGTTCCAGCTCCTCGTGCACGGGAGTGGTGCCTGTGATGGGGAAGGGGTCAGGATGGCTGTCAGAGAGCTGCAGGGCTACACTTCATATGAGGGCGTGGCTTGCATAACATTGATGAAAATGCTGTAGTCACCCCATTCCCTACAAGGCCCTGCGGCAGGCGGGCCACCGCCCTACCGGCGTCAGCGCGATTACTGCACAGGCTCCAGCCATGCTGGGAAAGCGTGTCAAGCACCCTTGGGGTGCAGTATGGGTCAGAGGACGCAAAGCCGAGGTAGTTGTAGGAGCCAAGATTCAGACAGCGCTTGATCTTCCCAGTAGTCGTCAGGGGTCTATGAGGTGTGAAGGATAGCAGACTTCGGTGGGAGTTCACTTCAAAGGATGGCGAAGCGAGCTCCAGTGATGCTCATTGCGCTGGTACACCCGTGCATGCCTGAGAACTTTAGAGCCATGGAAGAATGCGCACAACAGTAGCAGAAGAGGCTCAAATAATGCATTGAGCGCACAAAGTCAACCCCCACCACGCAAGTGGGGCTCCCAAACTCACTCCTGTCTGTTGACGGGTGTTCGCTCCAAGACGTCCATCCAGGAGGAGGGAGGGCCAGTGATTGGCCGATTGAAGCAGTCCTGCACGATGCGCATGGGCAAGAGGCAAGCTGCTGAGTTCCTGGTTGATCACCTGCTCCCTTTCCCCAGCAAATGGCAGTTGACCGGGGACATCGCCTTTGCAATCAGCCTTCATCCTCGACTACTCAAATAAGCCAACATCACAGCCCAATCTTCTCACATGTATCCTGTAATACATACGCCTGGTGTAGAAGTCTTCATAGTCCTGGCGGATGGGAGCGTACCCTTTCAGGGAAGCTTTGCTCCAGCGCTTCCGGAAAAAGTCACGAAACTGGCCGAAAATGTACAATAGTGTGAACCTGCGCGAGTGGTCCAGAATAGCTTAGATTACACCAACAATCTTGAGGTTCGTGATGAACGCCGCCCATCCCCGCGGGACTTACGAGGTGTAGGCAAATAAGGCCTGCTTGAGAGAGGGAGCGAGCGTCCCCGTACCCATGCCGCAGCTCGCAAAACAGTACAATTGGATCAGCAGAGTACCATGCAATGTCCTTTGTCCTGGACAGAATCTAAACGAGGCGGGCACGGGGGCAGGCGCAGTCCGTGGCGAGACCACTGAGCGAAGACTTGTGTGCAACTTCAAGCAAATGCCACAGACTCCAGATTACATTTGCCAATGAACCATAAAAAGAACCATTTTCTGATGTCCCTGTGTCTCTATCTTGCACGCTTACGTTGACGGGACTCACGTAATTGTGCTCGTGATTTTCCGATGACTTGAAAACTAACAAGCGCGGCAGGGATCTTGGTTAGGTGAGATCTGTACCAGCGATACGGACATCTGGCATTCGCAAGCTTCGGAAGAGGGCGTCATACTGCAATTGGAGGCAAAACAAAAGTTAGAACAATAGTGACGATGCCATTGGTAAGAGGTGGCCAGTGCCTGAGCAGAATGTAGATCGCCCCAGCCAGCCACCTTAGTCACCATGCCGAGCGATAGAGGCGAGAAGCACCAAAGGCTCACTCACCACTGTTTTGAATGCTTCAGAAACACGGACAATGAGAGAGCTTTGATTGGGGAGTTCTACCAGGCATTCTTCTGCGTTTGCATTGGCTTGGGTCCCGTACAGCAGACCCCCTTGATAGTCCCTGCCTGTCGCAGGCCCTAACACGGTTCCAGGGGTGACATGCATGCCCCCTTCCTCCCCACTGGTGTCTAATTAAAACTGCCTCATGCCGATGACCCCCCTCCACCATCCAAGTCTCCTTCCAAGCGCCGGTCCTGCCTCAGGTGGGCATCTGCCTGGTTGCAGCCAAGTGGGTGTCTGCTTGTTGCACCCGAGGCGGCTGGGGCAAGGGAGCAGTGTACACAGGGACACGCAAAGGGGGAGTCACATGGCCGGGGCACGGCCTGGCCCCGGCTTGCACCGCTCAGAAGCCGCAGACGGAGACCAGGAGGAACACGTTCCAGAGCGAGTGCAGCAGGATGCAGGGCAGCAGGTTGGCGCGGTGGCTGTAAGCCGCACCAAACACGCAGCCCAGGAGGAGCAGGGGCAGGAAGTTCTCGCGCGAGAAGTGCACGCACGCAAAGACGGCGGCCGACGCGAGCACCGCCGCCCAGCGCGGCATGTGCGTGGCCAGGGAGGGGAGGAGGAAACCGCGGAACATGGCCTCTTCCCAGACCGGGGCGCAGGCGGCCAGCATGAAGAACCAGAGGGCCCGCGTGGCGCCGTCCCCGGAGCCCAGCAGCGCGCGCGCCGCGGCGTCGCCACCGCCGCCGCCAGGGGCCGGCACTCCCGGCACGGTGAGGGCCACGGCCAGGCGGTGGACGGCATGGATGGCGGGGAAGGTGGCAGCGCCCGCGAGCGCCGGCCCCACCCAGTCGGAGAGGGGGAGGGCCCGCAACGCGAAGAGGCCGCGCGCGCGGGGGGCGTGCTCACGTAGCGCCCGGCCCAGCAGGCCCAGAGTGAGCGCCAGCTGGGCAACGTCCAGCGCCAGGTGGCGCAGCGCCTGGAACACCGGCGCGGGGCTGCCCGGGTCCAGGCCGGCCAGGGCCAGCGCGCAGGGCAGCGCGCCGTAGGCCAGGCACCAGAAGCCCAGGAGCCAGAGGGCGAGCACGGTGGCCGTGGTGGCCAGGTCCCAGGGGACCAAGGGGAGGGGGGCCCAGGCGGGTGGAGGGGAGGAGGGGTGGTCGCTGGGGGCCAGGGGGACCCACTCGTTGGGGGGGCCAAGAGGCTGGCCCGCGGGGGGTGAGTCGGCGGGGCCCAGGAACACCAGGTTGCTGGCTGCCAGGGGCGGATCGCTGCGGGGCCGGGGTTCCGGGGGCCACGAACCGCTGCCACCACCTGTGGATGCCGGGCATGGAGGCTGCATGTTGTGCCTGGACATTGCACCCGGGTTTGGGATCAGTTGGAACACGCAGCTCGCGGGGAATGCCTGCCCGGAGTACGGCACACCTTGACACCGCGCTCTCAACCGCGCTCTCCTGCGCCTATGGTGCTGGTGTAGAAATGTCCCAAAGGGTTGAATTGTACAGATTGCGACAATTGGGCTGCGATAGCTCCATAGCATGGCTGCAGGGGTGCCGGTTTGCGCCGGCATCCCGGCCTGCACAGTGGCCCTCGTCAGGGCTCCGCCATGCAGAAAGGGTCAAGGACGGAATCCAAACGGAAGATCAGGGCTTGTATGGTCAGCCGCGATTTATAAGTGGGCCCTGTATAAGGTGAAGGGCGAGATGGGCAATGCTTGTCCAGTGGGGAACTTGTCCTGAGGCGATGCTCGATCTCCGCTACCACGGCATATGCTGCTGGGCATCCCCCTGCACCAGCCAAGGGTAACCTGGGCGAGATGGTGGATCTTGCAGGACTAAAATCGAGGACTCGTTCCAGGCTTAGATTTTCAATGTGCAGTGCCATTTGGGTTCAGGCTGATGCTGTCATCACTTCCCAAGGATGATTCTTCTGGATGAGAAACTCACTGAACCGAATGCCTGCATTCCACACATGCTACCATACCCAAGGTGATTATTACAAAGGGGTATACCTCTCCAAAAAAGGTTGACACAGGGGCATTCAAGAAAGAGATCACTACTTGGTGGAGGATTATTGCAGGGTGGGGGGGAACAGAGCATCTTCCACAGGTGAAATGTGAATGTGAAGATCACTGTTGAAAAGACAAAGCAGGGAGCAATGACCTGCGCATGCATGTAAAAAAGGGGTGCTCGGTGCGGAGGGTGACCTCCGATAGCAGCCCCCATTCTTCTTGAGACTGCTCTCTTCTCACATTGCACGCAAGGCGTCCAGACACGAGCGCCTTGCCTGCCGGCTTGGGATGCAGCCTGGAGGTGCAAATCCCTGCCGCCTGCACGCTCTATGTGACGGTATGCACTTCGTGCGACGACTCTGTGAGAGCTTTTATTTTAGGACCGCCATCTGCCAGAGCCTTGGCCCGGGGCCCTCCGTACCGGATGTCACACCTGGAAAGAATTGATGTGAGGAATGAGCTCGACAGGAGGGACATCGCGTCAAGGAATGCTGGGCAGTATGGCAAAACCCTACCCAATTGCCCGTGCCATCCACAATCCCTTGCGCCACCTCACTTTGTAGCGACATAGTCGAAGAGCTGCAGGGCATAGTCCAGGTCCTGGCGTGTGTGGGAGGCGGAGATGCAGACGCGCATGCGGGAGGTGAGCAGCGGCGTGGCAGGGAAGCCCACCACCACCACCGCCACCCCAAGACGCAGCATCTCGTGGGAGGTGGCCGACAGCTTGGCCAGCTGGAAGATCATGATGGGCATGACGGGGGAGTCCCAGTCCCCCAGGACGTTGAAGCCCATGTGCAGCAGGCGGGAGCGGAAGTAGTTGGCGTTGGTCCGGAGCTGGGACAGCTTGTGCGCGCCGCGGTCGCTGCCGTCTGCGCCAGTGATGAGGCGCAGCGCGGAGAGGACCATTTGGACGGCGGGGGGGGTCATGGCCGTCGCATGCAGGTGCGCAGGGCATTGTGCCATGAAGTAGTCAATCACGTCCCTGGTGGTGAGGGGTTGGGGGAATGCTGATGGGCGCATGCGTGCCTGGGTCAGCTGGACCATCATCGGGAGATGAACAGAATGCGTCTGTGAGTAGGGTGCCAAGGAGTGCCACATCAAGATGCTGATGCCGACCAGATCACCCCCCCTCCCTCATTTACTCACTTGTTTGCGGCGACGTAGCCGCCACAGGCCCCGAACGACTTTGAGAATGTGCCCATCAGGACGTCGATGTCGGCCGGGCTGACGCCCAGGTGCTCGCAGACGCCGCGCCCTGTGGCCCCCATGGCCCCGATGGAGTGCGCCTCGTCCAGCCAGATGTAGGCCTTGTACTTCTTGGCCACAGCCACGAAGCCGGCCAGGTCCACCACCTCGCCCTCCATGGAGTAGATGCCCTCCACCACGATGATGACCTTCTTCCAGGGGCGGTGTGTGCGGGGCTGGCCCTCCAGCATGGCCTGGCGCAGCAGCTGCTCCAGGTGGACAGGGTCGTTGTGGTCAAACACGCGGACCGTGCCCTTGGCCGCCCTGACCCCGGTCACGATCGAGACATGGTTGAGGGCGTCGGAGAAGACCAGGGTGCCCGGGCCCGCCAGCACCGGCAGGAAGACAGAGTTGGTGGCGAAGCCCATGCCGCAGGTCAGGACGGCCTGCTTGCCCAGGAAGCTGGCAAGCTCCCGCTCCAGCTCCTCGTGCACGGGAGTGGTGCCTGTGATGGGGAAGGGGCAGGACACATATGAGGAGTTTTGAGGACGGCACTGCATCGCAGGCATGCAAGCCCTCCCAACACTCAAGCTACTCTCCTACCGGCGTCAGCGCGGCTGCTGCACAGGCTCCAGCCATGCTGGGACAGAGTATCAAGCACCCTTGGGGTGCAGTAGGGGTCGGAGGACGCAAAGCCGAGGTAGTTGTAGGAGCCAAGATTCAGACAGCGCTTGATCTTGCCAGTTGCCATGAGCGGCCTGGGGGGGCAAGCAAGGTGGAAGGTGCTGGAGAGCAAGACCGGGATGTGCGCCGTGTGCTCGAATGTTCCAGGTGGCAGGAAGATCTCTTCACAACATACATGTTCGCACTGCTGCCATATCCCAGTGTGTCAGCAATCAGCAGTGCATTGATGTGTCAAGGGGTCTTCAAGAGGAGCCACATCGAGCCACGAGCCCCCTCCAGACCATAGACAAGGAGCCTCACTTCTGTCTATTTACGGGTGTGCGCTCGATAATGTCCATCCAGGCAGACGGGGGTCCTTTCACCGGGCAGTTGAAGACGTCCTGGTGATTGGTGTAGGACAGGGTGAGCTGAGGAGGACTGGGAGCCCGCCACATCTCCATGGGAGTGAGCATCTGAGGGCTCATGCACCGCGTTCCACTGGCAGGAAAGGCATATTCCGGTAGCGCAGGCGGAGGTGATAGGTACAGGAATGTCCCCGCCCTCGAGGACCGCTCACATGGATCCTGTAGTAGATACGCCGGGTGAAGAAATCTTCAAAGTCTTGGCGAATGGGTGCATACCCTTTGAACGAGGCCTTGCCCCGACGATTCCGGACAAAGTCCCGCAAAAGGCCAAATATGTACAGTATAGTCCATCTGCATGGGTGTTCGGGGACTGACTGTTTGCAATGGACATCTCATGATCGGGGTTTGGTTTACGCCAGACACTCACGTAGCGTAGGCGAGGAGGGCGTGCTTCAGAGTCGGGGCCAGGGTTCCCGTTCCCATTCTGGAATAGTGATCTAGGTGCTTCCCTCGTTTCTCAAACGGCCGCCATGCCCGTGCGCTCGTCGTCGTTCAGCTGCACAGCGCAGCTCCGGCGAGGGTTGCGTACAAGCCGCTGCTGCCTGGCTGCGCCTGGAGAGATGGGACACCCAGCAGAGGCTCTACTCGATACGTACACGCCCCCTGTCGGCCTGATCTTTTACGCTACAGTGCAGTGCCCGGTGGCTGAGAGTATCCTTGCTATTGGCTCTGCGCGCAAGAGAAAATTTAGATTTGCATACGGCTTGCGGAAGAAAGGACGATCCGTCCTGCTGGAGATCTGCCAATCCCCGAGACCCCAAAGCGCGCAGCAGCCTTGCCCACATCTATCTGCTTCTCAAGGCGCAGGTAAACGCAATCCTCAGCCTGTTGAACATGTAACGATGACATCTGCTTGTATGATCGAGGCTTCTGATCTGGGTGCGGTGACGGACGCCCATGGGAAGGCGGAGTAATGCTCGAGCCAAGGCCAGCAAATCACCGCAACAATCTAAAAGGATCCCAGATAGAAAACAGAAGGGTCAGGTAATTGAGGTGACTTGCGAGACTAGGGGCAGGGCTGCCAGATACGGAGACCTCAGTGATCCGTGTCGTGAGCATGGGCATTCGGATTGTACATGTCACGGGTATGTACGTTTGTCCCATGATCCTCCCTGATCCCACGTAATTGCGGTACGCAGGGCAAGTCGAGGTTCCATTGTGATGAACTGGAGAAGGCGCTGCGGGATGTGGGGCTCAGGATACAGGTGAGGGGTCTGGCTTTGGTGTGTTTTGCATGCCAGTTTTCTTTGCTGCAGCCCCAGTGAGATGTCGCTCGCCCAACCCGCAGGAGGTGCAGGCCGATGGCAACTGCTTCTTCAGGAGCCTCAGCGTTCAGCTGCATGTGAGTCAGCAGCCTTGGCTGCCTGGTTCGGTGGGTCATTGTCGCATAGTATCTCGATGGCGCTGCAATTCCCACAAGCCTTGTATTCGCAGCGTGCACAGTAATCTCGTTCTAAGTGAGGGGAACCGGGGTCAATTCGCCCAACACGTAGGGCCACGAGGACGAGCATGCTGAGCTGCGCTCCCAGGTGGTGCAGCATCTCCGTGACAACCAGGAGGTGTACGAGCCTTTCATAGGTGCGGGCTGTGCAGGGTTGGGATTCATTTCGCTGCTCTCCCTGGTGCATTTGGTCCGAGTTTCATCTTTCGCACCTCAGCATGTTTTGTCTGGCAAAGGGGCGGTGGGCGCAGTTGGGCCACCCCCCCGCCATATTCGTCCCCACCCTTCATCCTCGCACAGAGGACGAGAGGGCCTGGGTCGATTACTGCGAGCGCATGTCGCAGGACGCCGAGTGGGCGGGACACCCGGAGCTGCACGCCGCCTCCAAGGTCCTGCGGCGGAACATCCGGGTCTACCAGGCCGAGCAGCCCGCCTGGCAGCTGACCACCTGGGGTGAGGGTGAGGCTAGCGGCCCCGCCCTGCGCCTCTCCTACCATGACGGCAACCACTACAACAGCGTGACGGACAGCGATCAGGTTGGGAGCGGTGCAGCAGAGCCCGAGGCAGCAGCGGACAATTTTGAACACGATGAGGCCGTGGGGCCCTGTGTGGCTGGATCGGCGGGCGATCTGCACGGCGCCACCAGTGCCAAGCCGGCTCCTGTGCCAAGGGGCCGCAAGGCCAAGAAGCAGGCCAAGGCAAGGCCCTTGCAGGGTGGGAGGCATGCACGTCTCTCACCAGGTGGGGCCGGCCGGGAGGGCACTGTGCGCATTGCCCTGGAGGTAGGCGATGGCGACGGGCGCGTGAAGCTGAGGCTGATGTGGACCGAAGACAGTGGCGCGGTGCCGATCGGCAAGGCAGCCCGCGTGGGCTGCCCCTGTGGCAGCGGCAAGAAGGGCAAGGCATGCTGCAGAGGGCGGGTGCAGCCCCCGCGCATTGTGGCCTCCCGGGATTTCAACGAGAACCTACACCATGCGCTGCAAACGCTGGAAATCTGAGTGGGCCCCAGGGTCTGGCACTTTGAGCCGATCCCATTGCCACGTCGTGTGACGCCTGTTACAGTTCATAGATGAGAAATGGTGCCCTCCAGATACAGATTGGCTTTGCAGGCTCGTCGCATGGGGGATGCGGGCATCAAAGCTGCACCACAGGTCCTTCAAGGTGCACACAGGCTGTCTGCCAAAATTGGGTTCCAAAGGCGTCGCGCAATTGGAAATGGCGGGGGTGGCTGGGCCCATGGCCAAATTCAGATCCTGAGCGAGAAGAGCACGGAGCTGCAGACGTCCATGAAGAGGAACAGGTCGCCGCTCAGCCGCTGCACTCGGAAGAGGAGGGATGATTGGAAGGGGGAGGGGAGGCCGACTTTGGGGCCGCCAGCCTGACAAGACAATGGTCTTGCATTTGCACATCGCAGCGTCGCTTGTATGCTGCTCACTGCATGTGCGTACGTCAAAGCCCCAGGCTGAGTTGGCCTTTGTGTCCGGGAGCCCATATTCTATGGGCTCCTGGCGCCAAACTCCAGTTGGGCCACCCCCCCTCCTCCTCGAGCTCCCCCCCCCCCCTCCACACTAACACACCTGGAAGTCCAGGACGTAGTCGCCGTCCCGCGCCTTGTACATCTGCACCTCGAACTTGACCTCCCGCTCGCCGCCCGTCGGCGCATCGCGTGGCGCGGCGACGTGCCGGCCCCCCTCCCCACCGCCGCCCGCGGCGATGGAGGTGTCCATGGCCTGCGCGCCGTCGCCGTCCTCGCCGTCGCCAGGCGCGCGCTCCCCCGGGCGCACGCTGCTCTCCTCCTCGCCCTCCATCTCCACCTCCTCCCCGCACATCATGCCGGAGGCCTCCATGGCAACGCCGTCCGACACGCTGTCGGAGCGGGAAGGGGCCGGGCCCTCTGTCGTAAGGGTAGAGGTAGGTGGTGGTGGTAGTGAGGGAGGCATTCGCAGCGTGGGAGCAGGGTGGGGCGGGCTGGATGCACCGATGTGGGCAGGGGCACAGGAGCATGCATGCGCATCCTCTTTTCGCGCCGCCACTGAGGCGCCCACCCCAAGCCTCCGTTTTAATCCTTCCTTAAACCA